TCAGCACCACATAAGCAAAAAGAAAAAAGCTGAAAGTGGCACTGTGGCTCAAGTGGTAGAGCGCTAGCCTTGAGCTGAAGAGCTGAGGGACAGCGGCCAGGCCCAGAGTTCAGGCCCCTCGACCAGACCAAAAAAAACCAGTTTTCTATCTTTGTAGCACTGGTTATGAGTTCCTAATAAGATCACTAAGAATGAGACCTCCCTCCCTCACATGGAGTTCACTTTTCCATAGTCATGCAAAAAGCTACTGGCTTGCGTGTTCCAGTACTGGGGCTTGAACTCAGGACTTTGGAATCTTGCTTGGCTTTTCTATTCAAGTACTCTATCACTTGAACCACTCTTCCACTTCTAGCTTTTTGTGGCTAATTAGAGATGACAGACTCTCAGATTTATTCCTAGGCTAGCTTTGAACTGCCATCCTCAGATCTCAGTCTCCTGAGTAGCTAGAATTACAGGAATGAACCAGTGGTACCCATTTCATCTATAGTCTTTTTGGTCCCCACCCACAAAAACAAAAATCAATCAATCAATACCTCTATTTTTATTAAGCGGTCAAGAAACTTGTCAAATCTGCAGAACACCAGAGAAGACTGAAAATCCCAAGGTCTCAGTTCTGTATTTCCCATGAAATTGCTTGCCAATAATTTTTTATATTTAAAAAAAGAATTTTTGAAAGTCTTTAAGATGTTAATGGCCACCTGCACCTTTTCCAGTGAGTCTTCGATTTCTCCCTTTAAAAGGTCCTCTGGTGACAGGTAAGCCACTGCCTAGGAGACAATAAAAAGAAATGACAATCCAAATGACAATTCAATTTATATTTAATAGTTTCAGACTGGAGCTATGCATTTCAATAATCATTTTAATGGACAATATCTAGAATTGGGCCAGTGATGTTGTAAGATAGAAAGCAAAATTTCTAGAAACTCAGGCAGATAGAATTTAATGGTGTCTCTTTATATACCTTAGAATAATATACAACAGTTTTGACTTTTTCTGGATTTATGTATTCTGGACTGTTTCTGGATTTATGTTTTCTAGCAATGACTAAATTTTTGCTACACCTCATACATTTGACAACTGTGGGATCTGAATCCACATGGGTATTCTTGCCAGCAAATATTCTATATTCACTTTTTCATATAAAGAAATGCACATGCTATAGAGGAATAATCTATCAAAATGTGACTTTTCAGAACATGGCCAATTACCTAGTAGCAGGGGATCACTTACAAAAGCGAGAAAGAACTGATTAGGTTGGTATACCACTGGAAATTCTTTAGGGATAGCAAAATTCTCCTCTTCGGGCTTAAGCATCATTGTAGGATATATAGCCAGCTGAATGATGCCACATGAACATGTTTTGAAAGAGGGAAAGAAAAGGAGAGGATAAAAAAGATAGAGCTAGCAGGCCCATGGACCTGTGGCTCACAGGACCACTATCTAGGTCCCTCCCCCATGGTGGGACCATTCTATTTGTTATTCAGAATCCCCAAGAACCTTACAGAGCCACATATTCTAAAGGTTCTTTGGTATGCTACATTTTTAATGCATCTTAATTTCATTATTTCCCACTCAATCTGGAAAGAAAAGTAATCTTTCACAAAGGCTGATGACATTCTACACAGAATTGCCCATAATCCCACTGCAGTTTGTATTGTAGAGTGGTTTATACTTTGGTACGGTATATTGGTATAGTATATTCTGTACACACACACACACACACACACACACACACACGTGCGCACATACACACACGGACTGTTCTCTGACATGTAGGAAACTAAAATCTGTGTAGATAACTCAGCTGCCTTTCCTGTTACCTAGTTACCTAAAGTGACACCACTGGGACAAGTCATCCCTTAATTCCCCCTGTACCTATTGGCTGGCCCTCACACAGCTTAGACCATCACTGCCAATTAACTCCATGTTCATACAGTCCACTGTTAGCAAGACCCCCGAAGACAAAGTGATGACACTCAATATCTTAAATGACAAACCCCCCAAACCTATCGCTTTGCACTAAGCAACAGAAGATGTGAAAGAATATCAACGGAGTCAAGAGACAGGGCCATAATTAAGCCAGGTGTCACTAATTGCTTTTGTGATATTAGATAAGTTGTCACAGAGGATCTATTTCCTTTATCTGTAAAATGAAGAAATTGAATTAGGAGAAGCTCATGATGTCTTTTAGATCCTAAGCGTTGAATTCCTTTTTCATGATCTCCCACATACCCTTGCAGCACACCCAACCACACTAGCTCTGTTACCTTATAGCTAATGGTATCAGCATGAACAAACAAAAAGCCACTGGATTTAGAATGAACTGGTCCCACTTAAAAGATCTTAGAAACACAAACACAGTCAAGCTTTCCTGTCTACTTACTGATTCTTGTGTGTGTATATGCCTGTACTGGGGCTTGAACTGAGGGTGCTGTCCTTTAGCTTTTTCACTAAAGGCTGGCTCTCTATACTGCTTGAGCAACAGCTACATTTCTGGCTTTTTGGTGATTATTGGGAGATAAGATTCTCATGGCCTTTCTTGCCAGGCTAGCTTCAAACTGTGATCCTCAGGTCTCATACTTCTGAGTAGCGAGGATTATATGAGTGGGTTACCTGCATCTGGCTTATCTATTAGTTCTGTATGCATGAATTCAATGATTCATTGATTAAACACATTTAAAAATTTTGTACCTTAGCCGGGCACTGGTGGCTCACGCCTGTAATCCTAAGTACTCAGGAGGCTGAGATCTGAGGATCACAGTTCAAAGCCAGCCCAGGCAGGAAAGTCCGGGAGACTCTTATCTCCAATAAAACCACTAGAAAACTGGAAGTGGCACTGTGGTTCAAGCAGTAGAGCACTCGCCTTGAGCTTAAGTGCGCAGGGACAGCACCCAAGCCCAGAGTTCAAGCCCCACACTGACCAAAAAAAAAAAATTGTACCTTTACTTAACATATAGATATTTTGTTGTAATTTTCTCAGCAAAAAAATACTTATGGTATTTTTACATTGAACTAGGTACTATGAAGCAATATAGCAATGCGTTAAAATAGAATAGGCTGGGATCTGGTGATTCATACTTGTAATCTTAGCTACTCAGGAGGCTGAGATCTAAGGATAGAGATTTGAAGCCAGCTTGGGTAGGGAAGTCCCTGACATTCTTATCTCCAATTAACCTCCAAAACCTGGAAGTGGAGCTGTGGCTCAAGTGATAGAGCATCACCCTGGCATGAAAAAGCTAAGGAAGAATGCCCTAGTCCTGAGTTCAAGTCTCAGAAACAGTACAAAAATAAACAGGATAATATGCATAGATTTTTATAAACAAAATTAACTGTTTCATACAAGGAATCTGACCATCTGTGGAGTCTGGTCACTATGAGGGGTTGGTCCTGCAGCCCACCAACCCTTAGATACTAGGGTACAACTCTACAGCTAATCAACTTATTAATAAACCAATTAATTGTCAGCCAATTTATCAATGATGTTATGCTACTTGGATACTTAGCTCCTTTTCTATTTTATGTTTTGTGGATTCTTATTTTTACTCAATTCTGACACATTCTGCAAACTTTACTGCTCAGACTTTACTTCTTTCTCACCAGGGATCTGGAGGGGACAATTTCTATAACAGAGATACTTAAAGCATAGAACAGAGAGGATGGCAGGCTTTACAGGACAATGTTGCACAGTGACCAGGATGTGGCGTCAAGGCAGGACATTAAGAAAAGACCCATTACCTACCTTTGTGTCATCATGTCAAGTGACCAGACATTTCTTATATGGCTGGTCTAAATGGCAATAATAATGGCCACTATAGCAACTTAAGAGAAACACATTTATTCCCATTGAACTAACTGGTTCCTCATGACTCAATACCCCGTCATAGGATCAGGCACACTATGAGTAAAGCAGATCAGGAATAACACAAACACTGACCACTGTGGTCACATGGACACACCTGATACATCTGGAGGTGTACTTACAGCCCTAGCAACCACGTGGGCAGCACCTGGTCCATCTGAAGGTGCACCTGTAACCCCCATCACCTGGGCAGCAGGTGGTGTGGCAACTATGTTTGACTCTCCAGGGGAGGCTGGAATGCTGGCATTTAAATGAAATCTCTCCAATTTCAGCATCACTGCTAATTTTCTAAATAAAATATTACTGTGCAAATCAAAAACACTGAATGGATCTGTAGATCAAATGGAATTGATAAAATGTCAGCTTGTGGCCTTTAATATGTAACATAGATTTATGAACTCCAGTATATAACCGGTCAAACAATGCTTAATTTTCATTAAAATAGGCCAAATAAGTTCATGAAAACAAAGCACGGGAAGATCAAAGAAACAGTTATGAAATGTATATAAAATGTGTGATCATGCCAGTGCCAGGCCAGCTTGGGCCACAGATGAGACTCTGCCTTAAAAAACAAACCATAACAAACCAAACAGAAACAGAATTCTGTTATCACTATTACCCAATGAAGGAGCTCAAGTCTCTAAAACGTGATAATGTTCAAAACAAGCAGATAATAATGAAATTTTTTATAGAAATACAATTGACATGTTTTAGAAAAAATCGTAAATTTAAAAAAAAATCACCCAGAGCCTTGAAAATGTTATAACCTTTGATCAACATCAGAAATAGTCAGCCCAATTATCCAAATTTGTATCATTTTTCTATATGCAGTTATAAGAGAGAAGGCTAGGGGGGAAAAAAACTAAATATCCCATAATGACAAAACTCCTTTTAAGAAGCTAACAAAATTGTAGGTATGATAAAGTAAATCAGGACACCAAAGTTTTAGGAGAAGCTAAAAAACAATGCTGAGTTATAGAACTTTAGGGGTATTTCCATTGCTACAAATGTTATACAATGGTAATATTTTATAAGTATCATTAGCATAACACATATATCATAATTTGAATAAACACATCATAAGTATGGAGTGTAGTATAATGAGCAAGAAGTTAAATCATTAGTTAGGTAATCATGGAAAAGTTAATTCGTCCTGTCAGGGCTTCAGTCTAATTATTAACTGGAGCTACTAATAGTGTCTATATTGAAACTGTGCTATGAGGGTTTACTTGTATTTACTTTTTTTTGAATTTTTTTGTAGCCCAGCCTAGCTTCCAAATGAAGATCTTTCTGGTTCAGTCTCCCAAGTAGTGAGGATTACAGGTATGTACACCATGTCCAGTGCTATACAGATCTAATATATTTTGTAAAGGGCTTCAAAAAGTTCCCTACAAAATAATAAGCAGTAGGCAATGTTATATTAAACACAGTCAACAAACATGTGAGGATGGGGACTTAACTCTTTAAGGAATCCAGATATGAAAGTGTGTGTGTTGGTCCTTGGGCTTGATCTCAGGGCCTGGGGGATGTCCTTAAGTTTCTTTTACTTCGCTTCCAGCTTTTTGATCGTTTATTAGAGTTACATCTCTCAGACTATTCTTCTGGGGCTAGCTTTCAACCATGATCTTCAGATCTCAGCCTCCTGAGTAGCTAGGATTACAGGCATATACCACAAGGTGCCTGGCTCTCATTGCTAAGTTTTGATTCCTAATGTGTGAGGGCAGATGTACTACAAAGTCCAAGATGTGCTACTTTGGAAAAATCAAGAAAATCAGGTCAATGAGACCTTTGGACAAAAGTCAAAGAGCTTGGTAGACTCTGGCTGTTGACATAGAAATAGGAGCCAGGATACTATGTTTACAGGTGTAAAGGTAACCAGGACTTCTTTCAAGTCACCCATACATACCGAGGGAAGACCACTAATGGAGCTTTGCAGTAGAATGGTTTTGATACAACGAGAACAGGTATGGAGGAAGTGATAGTTGTATTTTTTGGCCCTGCAACAGGGACTATACTAGTCTCCTGTGGTGATCTACACCTCTGGGGCCTAAAGCACTTGCTCAACAACACAGAAAAACTGAATTTGACACTAAAAGAACAGAAACAGAGGAGATGACAATAAATTATGACAAGGAACTGACCTGTTGCACATCCTGTTGATGGCTGCACTTAGCTGCGAAGCCAATAGCTTGGCAAGAGAAGAGAAAGGAATTGACTTTTCACTAAACTTCTGTTGAATGTGGGGTGCCACAGTGAGCATTTCCCTGTTATCTCTTCTGATCCTCACGATGGCCCCTAACTAGATATTATTCCCATTGACAAGTTCAAACTGAGGCTCAGGGGAATAATTTAAGTTCCCTTAAGTGGTTCAATCAGGATTATGGCTCGTCTGAGTCCAGAAATTTTATACATTCACTTCACTCTTCAGAAGCAGAGAGGGGGAAAAAGGGCAACAAAGGGAAATGGGTGGAGACAGAGGAAAAGGGGGAGAGACAGAGAAGTGCGGAGGGGGAAAAGAGGGGAGGGACAGAGAACAAACAAAACTCCAAAACTGAATTCACTTGCTGTCTCCGGAAGTTCTAAACTCCAATTCTGCAGCTCTCCTCTGGTCTGGCTTTCCCTCCTAACAGAGAAACTGAGCAAATATCACCTTTCAAATCTCAATTTAATTCATCTAATATTGAAATTGTGTTGTGCCCAAAGCGGTATGTTGAAGGCCTAAGCCCCCAAATGAGGCTATCTGGATACAGGGTGATTAAAAGGTAGAGTTAAGGTTACATGATATTAAAAGAGCAGGGCCATTATCCAATAGGACTGTGTCTTTATAATAGGGAAAGACTGCCCAGTGAGGACAACATAAGGAGGTGGCCAACTGCCTGTAAGACAGGAAGAGAGCCCTCAACTAAGTAAGCCCCTGCTCTTGCTCTGACGCAAACTTCAAGCTCCAGAAACTGTGGGAAAATGAATTGGTGTTTGAGGTATTTAGTTATAACATACCTAACAGACTAAGATACACGCTAAGAATCTCTAAACCCTGTACAGGTGTCATAATCCTAGCTATTCAGGAGGCTGAGATCTGAGGATTACAGTTCAAAATCAGCCCAGGCATGAAAGTCTATGAGAATATCATCTCAATTAACCACCAAAAAGCTAAAAGTGGAGCTGTAGATCAAGTGGTAGCACACCAGCCTCAAATGAAAAGGCTAAGGGACAGTGTCAAAGCCCTGAGTTCAAGTCTCAGTACTTACACAAACTTAATTAAATAAAATCCCTAGACTAGATGGAATCCAAATATCTTTCAGCTCTGGGATGTCATTGTGTGGACCCAGAAAAGATGACGTGTGGATGGAGGTAGTCTAGGGTGTTTTGTTTTTGTGCCACTCTTGGGGCTTGTTTGGGCCTAGGCACTGTCCCTGAGCTTTCTCACTTAATGGTAGCCACAACTCCACTTCTGGCATTTTTTTGATGGTTAGAGATAAGCCTCACAGACTTGCCTGCCTAGAATGGCTTCCTATGTAGCTAGGATTACTGGTGTGAACCATCAACACCTGGCTTGTCCAGTTTTATTTTTTTAAGTATAATGGAAGTTAGTTAAGAAGAGATTAAAGATCAGCAATGAATCTGAATTCTTTCAAGATAACTCCAGCACTGTTTTTTCTTTCAAGGGTAACTTCATTTTCCAAATGCCTTCCATGAGCAATGTTCCCATGCAAACCTGAGGCGGCTACAAAGAAGGTATGAAACAAAGCAGCCTTATGGGGAAGCTGCCTTAAATCTCCACATTTAATCTGTCTTTTAAACCTGTTTAAACAAAATCCAGCAATAACTTGTTCTTTGCTTGTATCTGACTTATTTCCAGAGCCCGCTTACCATTCAGGATAAGAAGTCACCTGGTCTTTGTTATCATAAAAATCCTTCCGAAAACAGGAAAATCATGTTCTTATTGTAATTTTGATTTATTCTTTACTAGTCTAACAAACCCTACCTCATGAAAATGATTCTTATTCTTCCAAGTGTTTTAATGTTCATACCTGGTCGATGAAGAGATTACAAAACTCTTGTAATAAGACTATAATCCGAGCAGGAGTATTATAAAACTTGGAGTGGCTCCAGATAAGATAGATGGTATGAAATAATGGGGTGGTTAAAATGAGGGTCTGCGGGAATTCCTTTTCCTGGAGATCTTGAATGTGCCTTCTTAAGGGTCGCAGGTGTAGTTCCACATCTTGGGCTTCCAGGAGAGCTGAAGACAAGAATAGTTCAGTTTGTTGGCTGTATACTTTCACAGGTTCAGGAAAGCCATGTCAAACATGCCCATATTTTCTTTTTCATTATACAATCAACCCAGGAGCAGCTTGTAACTTCAACACTCAGGAGAGGACTGGTCTAGTTACTCACAAAGCAGAAGTAATTGTGTCTGAAGACCCAGAGGGAAGAAACTTCAGAATTTACAAGATTTTCTCCTCATTCCTGCGGGAATGCTGGGGGAGCTCAGCATCTCCATGCTGCTGCCTTTCACTTTAGGGCTTGGATTAAGGGAACTCCTCTGGGTATGGTCATACCTAATGCCATTTCCTATGAGAGGAGCTGAAGCAGTGATTGGGAAATCTTCCATTACATTATTACCTAAGATTTAACTGTTAAAATGACTATGTGCAATGCATATAATTTAAAACTAGGCAGAAATGATGATAGCACGGCACTATGAATGGGCCTAGATGAACTTAACTGTAAGATGGTTAATTTTATGTTGCATGAGTTTAAAAAAAAAAGAACCCATTCAGCATGACAGGAGCAAGGAAAACATTTCAAATACCACAGATGTAGAGACAAGAGTCAATATTTTGAAGCTGCTAGTGATTGCATTGCCAACTCTAAAGATTTTTTTCTGGGTTAAAACTGGTTATTTTCCTCTAACACACTTCGCTTTGCTTCTAAGCCTGCAAATACCTCGATGAACAAAATACAAGTTGTTTTATAAAGGTAAGGAATGAAGCTAAATTTTATTTTCTGATGTGATCCCAAAATTTTTATGTCAAAAAAACAAATAGGCTGGGCACTTATGGCTCACGCTATAATCCTACTCACAAGGTTGAGATCTGGGGCTAAAAAGGTGGCTCAGTACTTGCCTTGCATGCATGAGGACCTGGGTTCAATTCCTCAGCACCACATAAGCAGAAAAAGCCGGAAATGGGGCTGAGGCTCAAGTGGTAGAGTGCTAGCCTTCAGCTGAAGAGCTGAAGGACAGCGCCCAGGCCCATTAGTTCAGGCCCCACGACTGACAAAAAAAAAAGGTTGAGATCTGAGGATTGTGGTTCAAAACCAACCTGAGCAGACAAATCCAAGAGACTCATCTCTCCTTAACCAGCAAAATTCCAGAGGTAGAAGTATGGTTCAAGCGATAGTTTTTGCTCAAGGCTAGTGCTCTAAGGGAGAGTACCCTGGCCCTAAGTTCAAGCCCCAATACTAGTGCACACATGTACACATATGTATGTACATACATATACATACATATATATACACACATACACACACCTTGGTGATCTTTCAGTCATATCAATCTACTTCAAACATACTAGTTGAATCCAACAACAAAACTTACAAAAAAAAAACCAGAAAATTCCAGAACTTTTCTGATTTATTCAGGTTTTGAAATCCATGTATTTCTGTCCGTCTTAGTTCCAAACTCAAATAACTGCATTTAATAGGTAAGTGCCTTTACAATGTGCTAAGCCTGCTGACTTTCTGAGTCCCAGGTAGACCTTTGAAACAGGTCTTCTACCAGTCCATGTGTATTTAGGTCATGTATTTCACTGTGAAATATTTTCTAGCAATCTTCAGGCCTCATGCCCATAAGGCTCACAAAACCCTTGGGACTCATTCCTGTAGGAATTCTGTGCACAAGTAATGCCAACCACCTCTGTTTATTGAGGGCAAACCTATTACAAGCCCAGAGCCTGGATAAGTGTATTTGAAACCTCAATCCAGTGATTTGCAACCAGTGATTTTTTGCCTTTGGGAACATTTGTAATGTCCGAAGATAGGTTGTTTTGTTTTGTTTATTAGGAATGGTTGGTGGCATCCATGGTAGAGACCTTGGACCCTATGGCAAAGATCTTGCTTACAATTCATAATAATGTCAAGAGTGAAAAATACTGCTCTAAGTTCACACACTGATTCTGCCCAGAAAGCTTTAACAGGCCAATTTGGCCATTAAAGACCAGAGGCAGAGTAAATTCAACATGCTTTGTAAGCAGAGTTCAGATAGCAGTTCATATCTGACAAATACCCTAGACTGAATATTTCCCCTTAGGCCCTCTTTTCAAGCAGAACTCATGGAGAAAATCCTAAAAAGAGCGCAACACATTTTTAAGAGCACTATCTTCCAACCTTCCAAATGTCACATAAAGTGGGTGAAAAAGGAAAATTTCAAGTTGTTAAAATAAGCAAAAATCAGTATCTGTGCCAGTTTTAATTTGATTATTTAAAACTATTATTATCAGGTGTCAGTTGCTCACACCTGTAATCCTAGCTACTCTGGAGGCTGAGATCTGAGGATCAAGGTTCAAAGTCAGCCAGGGCAGAAAAGTCTGTGAGACTCTTATCTCCAATGAAGCACAGAAAAAGCCAGAAGTGGTGCTATGGCTCAAGTGATAGAGTGCTAGCCTTAAGCAAAAGGAGCTCAGGGACAGCACCTAGTACCAGTAAAAATTAAAAATAAAACTTTACTATCATATATATGTACACATATTTGTATAAACATGAACAATGAATGTAATCAGAAGTCAGGAACCAGGGAGAGTTGTTATATTTGGAACTCAAACTAGAGACTAAGAGACAAGCAAAGGAAAACACGCACGCACGCACGCACGCGTGCAGTGTGAGAGTGTGAGTGTGTGTGTGTGTGTGTGTGCACTAGGGTTTGAACTCACAACTTCCCAATTGCTAGGCAGGTGCTTTTATTGCTTGATCCACACCTACATCCTTTTTTGCTGGGGTTACTTTTTAGATGGGATCCTACTTCTGCTAGAACCAGCCTGGACTGTCCCCCTTCTATTTACGCCCCCTGCCACAGCAGAAATTATAGGCACACACTACAATGCCCAGCTTTTTCTGTTGGGTTGGTGTCTCATGAACTTTTTACTCAAGCTGGCTTCAAACCATAATCCTCGTAATCAATCTCTTTGCCTCCCTAAGAGTTCAGATTAGAAACATGAGCCACCGTGCACATTTGAGGATGAGATTTTTTAGCTGAATGTCTTTTTATAATTTTCCAATCACACAGGTTTAATCACAATGTCAATGGTGACTTTGAATGACTGTAAGCTAAATATCTGGAGACCCAGCACATCCAGAATCTAGTGGGTAAATAGACTAAAATCACAGCACAACTGCTGGTTTTCCAACCTCTCCCCAGGGCTTTCATTTTGCCTCTGCTAAATACTGAGGGCCATACCTTTCCACACACAGCTCCAGTTAAACCTTTAAGCTGAACCATGTCAGTAGTATAGGTAGAAAATAAAGAACAAAGGGTGAGAAGAATTGGCCACTAGAAGAATGAAGTGCAATCACGTCATGGTTATGCCCAGGGTAGCAAGGTAGCCAGGAGGCAGGTAAATGTCAAGGCTGAGCAGTGAGTGGGGCCTGATCATGAAGAGATCATGACATTCACACTAGGCCCCAGAACATGAGTCTTACCATTTTCCACAGTCACAAAAATGTCCTTCAAAGTAGGAAAATAGCTGCTCTGTTTTGTTTTCAGGATCTTAACCATCTTGAGCACAATTGGAGTCTGAAGCTAATAAAGGAGGGGGAAAAATCCTTTAATAAATAAGAGCTGGATTACTAAATGTCTTCTTTTAGGAAAATATTTAAATTATATTCCACTTTCACTCAATGTGCATAGTCATTAATACTCAAAAGCATATCTGGTTTCAAGCTAAAAAAATCATTTTGATATATTTCTCCATAAGCTTATCTTGTACTTAGTATTTTTCAATTTGGATTTTCAGAAAAGTCCATTTCCATATTATATATGGAAACTATTAATTCCATATAAAATTTCTTGATCTGTTTCACAAAACTCTGAGGCATGTGAATGAACTAATTCTTAGCATTAATGTTGGTAGCAAACACTGGCAGTCAACTCTAAAGCTACCCCCACTAAGGTGAAAGAGATCAACTCCTCCAAATCATTTACGAAGACAGGATGGATTAAATCTTACATCCTCAACATTTTCCCACTTTTCTTTTTCAATTGCTACTAAATATTTCTAATGATCTCAAATGTCAAAATTTCTTCTAAAGGCAAAAATCACTTTTAACTCTCATTCTCTTGAAATACATACCATATATGTAGCATCTTGGAGTCAGAGAAGACTATTAAATCTTATGAAGACTGCTAAACCTTTAAAATTGTTGGCTATCATTGCTTGGGAGAATTTATTCTACAGTTGATTTTGGTTACTCAATTGATAAACAATTTTTAGGCTGGAGGCAGTGGCTCAAGCTTGTAAGTCTAGCCTCCTTGGGAAGTAGAGTCTACAGAGAATCAGAGCTAGAATCTGACCTTGGCAAAATGTTTGAATTACCCCTTCTAAACCTTCTGAAGCCTGTTATCCCAGCTACTAACAGAAGCATGATAAAGAGGATCAAGATCCAGCTGAGCCCCAGGCAGAAAATGAGATTTTTATCTTGAAAAAAAGGATGGTGGAGTATCTGGAGTGATAATATGCCTTCCCAGCAATCATGAAGCACACGGTTCAAAAAGTGGTACCAGCCCTCCCTAGCTAAGGGCTCTCTACTTACTTGATTGTAAGTGCTAGATAGATTCTCCCTCCTCATTGTCCAGAAATCCAGCTCATATGATGGTATCAAGTGAAGACCATTTATCAAAGGCTGTACTGAATCCCTTTCTATACTTTCTTGAATTTGATGTGACCATTTAATAACCACAGATTCAATTGCATGGAGTATTCGCCTCTCATTTGATGGTTGCCTGCAAATATTAAAATGACTAATAAGAGAACTCAAAGGTAATTTTAGCTTGATGAAGATAAAATGTGGACTATAGTTATTTTATACATCCTTATACCAGTTTTCTAAGTATAGGCTCTTCAAAAATCTATTATTCTCATGTCCTTGAGTTGTGACATCCTTTTACTCCATATTTAGCATGTTCTAGTGTTAAAAATATGTTACCACAGCCTCAAAAAAAAACATTTTAAAGGAAAACTATTTTCCTTTAAAAGTATACTTCCCAAGGAAATACACATTTTAAAGTTATGATGTAATTATAATACTTCTCTATTTTTGCATCTGCAACTAGTTTGTCTGGATGGGATAGTAAATGGGAAGGTTGTCTCTCCACGGTAACGTGTTATGTGCTCCACATTACGTACTTTGTCTCTGAGTAATTCTGCTCCAGGTCAATGTTTTCTGCAACAGTAGGAATTGGTAGAAGAGTTCTTCTAGACATTTTGCCTTTAAAAATGTGCATCTTGGTTTTCATGAGTTCTAGGTGATGTTCCATATCTTGTGAGGTGAAACATGACCAGGATTTATGATTGTTCTTATTAGAAAGAATTGGCATTAAGATCTACAGAAAAAGAAATGTTTTTAAATTTACAACCAAGGCGCTTCTCCAAAGATTCTTCTTGTCATATAAAATTGGCAACCAAACTACTTCATTTCATAAATACCCTCCTATGATATCAAATCTACACAGAGAGGAGAGAATGAATGCTGAATCAATGCGTTTGATTTAGCAGCTGACTCTAACACTGCAAGAAATAAGTAAAATTGTTTTCAGTAAGTTGTAAACTGCAATCTTAATGACAACTGGGCTTGTTGGCAGATATATTAATGAAGAGAAAAAAAAAAGCCGAGGGTGGGAATCTTTCCAGCCCTGGGAGGTATCCCTATGGACTAAAGTTGAATTAGTTGAAAAGTTTCTTATTCAAGCACATAGACCTTTTCAGAGCTCCTTTCTCCTCCAAATGAGCAGCATCCAGGAAACTAGGTATTCAAACGCCACTACAGTGTCCTGTTCACATTCAGAACCCCAGCATGTGTTACATTATTCATAAGAGAGCATGTTGGTTTAGGCACCTATTCATTTTAAGGTATCCTTTCAGGCATCTATTAATTTTAAACTTTTTTTCATTTTTCTGATACATCTCATCCATTTTATCAGCATATTATAAAATTGCAATTAGCTAAAATGCTCCAAAAATAGTTACTCTAATTCTTTAAAGGTATGTTGACAACACAGGATGAGTATCCCTTATTCAGAATGATTAAGACCAGAGATGCTTCTGATTTCAGATTCTTTGAGCTTTTGGAATATTTACAGATATATGATGATCTATCATATATTCATATATATCATGAGATAAAGCATATATACCATAAATAGAGATATGTGATGATATATATTATGAGGTATCTGGAGACTGGCACCCAATTTAAACAAAATTTATTTGTGTTTCATATGTGTGATATGTACATAGCATAAAGGTAATTTTCCTTTTTTTTAGCTGGTCCTTGGGCTTGAACTCAGAGACTTGGCACTGTCTCTGAGCCTCTTTGTGCTCAAAGCTAGCTCACTACCACTTGAGCCGCAGCACTACTTCCAGCTTTTTCTGGGTAGTTTATTGGAGATAGGCGTCTCATGGACTTTCTTGCTCAGGCTGGCTTGGAACTGTGATCCTTGGATCTCAGCCTCCTGAGTAGCTAGGATTACAGGCATGAGCCACCTGTGCCTGGCTTCTTCCATATTTTTAATAACTTTTTGCATAAACAGTATAGTATTTTCCACGGTACCTTTGTTGACATTCAAAAGTGTCAGATTTTAGAGCATTTCGGATGTTCCATTTTCCTGTTAAGAATATTCAACTTGTCTAGTTAACTAGAACAAAACTTGGTTTTCAAACTGGTATTATTACAATGTCCTGCTGAACTCCCACCTACAGGTCAAGTGAGCTAGGCACGAGAGGCAGGAGCAGTGTCTGTGCTCAGTGAGCTCAGCAGTAGTTAGGACCTGCCATACACATTTGAGGTGCCTTCAGCATGAATGTGAAACTATCAACTGTTTGGGGGACAAAATGGCGTGAAGGCAGGCTCACGTTAAAGCCATTATTTGACTTGAATCTTTCGGATAAAAGAACAGAGCAAGGCAGATATGATGTTCTGAATGTCTGTGTGTTCACAGCACATGTATGAGGAGACCATACCCTTCCTGTCAGTGGGCTGAGCCCCAGCCAATGGCTGGCATGTAGGTCTTAGGGGCAGAGCCCTCTGAATGGGGGGCCCAGGGATCTCCTTTCTTTGACCAGGTGAGGACACAGACAGAATCAGAAACAGGAAGTGAACCTTGATCAGAAACCCAAATCTGTCTGTTCCCTTGATCTCAGCTCTCCAGTCTTCAGAACAACGAGCTATAAACTATTTATAAGGCAGCCAGTCTATGGCCCTTCCCTATAGCAGCACTAATAGCAGCCCCAATTGTGTAGGACAGCAAAGCATTCTAGAAAACTGCATCCTGACAAACAAAAATCATGGGAGACCTAGTAGGGCATGCCTGAACTAGAGCTAGCACCCCCAAGACAATCAGGCTGTGTGGATGAGGGGGGAGGGAGTGAAGAGTTTTGGAAAATAGACTGAAGACATTATTAGGCTTGTTGGAATGACCATGCATTCATTCGTCTGCCAGGAAACTACTTTCTAGATTAAATTTCTGGTACCAACAGATTTTGGAAAGTTATAAGCAAGGAAAATTTCCATGTCAACACTCATGTACTAGGGTCTTTAATTTTCAGTCTAACATACTAATATACTATGATATGGCCAACTTCTAGATTTGTTGTTTTGCTTTGTGCCAGTAATATGGCTTGAACTCAGGGCCTTGTACTCTTGCTTTTCATTCAAGGCTGGGGCTCTACCACTTGCCAATTTCTCTTAAAGCATACTTGTGTACTGCACTGTAGAGAAAACTCCTATGAAATTCTGAGCCATATGTTTTGGAAAGCAGTTATTCAAGCAAAACTTTAAAGCATCTTTAAGATTATAACTTAAAACAAATAGGCCCAGGATTTGCTTGTTAATTACAAGTGATTTTATCAACCAACTGTATACAAAGCAATGTAACTAATTTGAGGGCTTGGTTTACTTGGAAATTGTTGAGCTTTTGTGATTTTTAAGGATATATCTCAGCCTTCCTCTGAAAACCAAAATAATTTGGATGCTTACTAAGGAGACAGATGACTATAGATAAAAATCTAGAATAGTATCTTCTTCCTCCCTTACCCTGACTTATTTCCAGAAACAGTGCTTTAAGGGAGGATTCTACCCTGCTGATACTCTAGTCTGACATCCAGCCTCCAAAACAGAAACTTTGCAACATCACCTCATATATACTATTCTGAGGAAATAGCCTCAACTACTTATGGAGCTTCCAAATCAGGCTGCCCCTGGACTAATCTCCTCCAGAGAACATGTACTACCATAACTGTCTTGCAGTAAACACACAGATTTCACTTCGGCAGTTGGCTTTGCTGACAATCACCTCAATGGAAGACATAAGGCTGAGAGACTGATTAATCAACAGCCTATTTTCTCAGTTGCCAATCCAGCTACCTCCCCTGTCCTTCAACACTAAAGGGAACAAATTACGTAGCCTACAAATATGGCTGTTTTCAGACTAAAAAGAAGTGCTAAAAATTATCAATGGATATAGTTAACAGACCTGTTACTACCTAAAACCAGAACTCCAAGTAAATCAAGACCTAGGGACATCCTCTCCAAGAACCCCCCACACACACCTTTCCTGCCACACCTACAGATGTGGAAGATGGCACTAGGCTCCCCCTACTCCCTGCCAGACCCATCTTAGCTTTGCCAACTGTGCCTATCATTTCTAGTTTGGCTCTCTGCCTCCCTACTGAGACTGGATGCATTTACTGTGTGTGCTGCTGGGAATCCAGCCTTCAAGTTCTAACAACGGTATTAAACAATACATTTCATGTTCAAAAAAACTTTTTTAAGCCTGGTGCCAGTGGCTCACGCCTATAATGCTAGCTACTTAGGACACTGATATCGGAGGATTGTGGTTCAAAGCTAGCCTGGGTAGGAAAACCTGTGAGACTTCTCTGCAATTAACCACCAAAAAGCTGAAAGAGGAGCTGTGGCTCAAGTGGTAGGGTGCTAGTCTTGAGCATAAAAGCTCAGGGACAGAACCTAGACCCTAATTTCAAGCCCCAGTAGCAACACAAAAAGTAAAATTCAACAGATTAAAAAATCTTGCTGGGAACTGGTGGTTCACACTTGCAATCCTAGTAGCTACTCAGGAGGCTGAGGATCTGAGGAATGAGGTTCAACGCCATCCGAGGCAGACAAATCCTAGAGACTCTATCTTCACTTAACCAGCTAAGTGCCAGAAGTGAAGGTGTGGTTCAAGTGGTAGAGCATGAGCTATGAGTGAACAAAGCTGAGTGAAGTCCCTGAGTTCAAGCCCCAGTACTGGTATGTGCATGCGCGTGCATATACATAAACATAAACACAAACACACACACACACACACACACACACACACGAACAAACCTTGATGATTTGTTTCCTAAACTGCCAGTGGTGAGAACGCAGCATTCCAATTCCAATCGACCCCCTACCCATTGAAGACTGTGGCGGTGACTCCATATCTAACAAATGTTTGTAGGTGCAACCACGGGAAACTTCTAAAAAATTATAAAGGCCATATAGGTAAACCGTGTGCTGTTTTTTAAAAATTACTTACCTTACAGATTGTTTTTATATGTAACCCTGGCTCCAAAAGTGGGAGTCTCACTTGTCACATCCTGTTCTCCACCTGGTACATGTCCCTATTCGTCTAGAGGAAGGCATCACTGAAAATTACCAAAGACAGGTGGGGACTGACTGAGTGGACTCTGGGGAAGAGGAAACAGTAAAAGCCAAGTCCTTGTGGTAAGTGTATGTCTTCTGAGGTTTTAAGGGAGGTGAGGGAAGACGGAATTACAAACTCCGTAGACTTCACTCACAGTAGTACTTCTGCTCTTCCGTAAGGACCAGTACCAGTAATTCAGCTGCTCTAGGTGGAGCCTAAGATCCTCCCTCCATGGCTCACAAGTCTCCTGGTGATGCTAATACTAATTCCAAGCAATCAGCAAAGTCAAGTCTTAGTCTCTGTGTTTGGACACTTGTTTAAAGTAAAACAAGGAGCCAACGCAGGGTCTGAGAAGTGTTCTGACTTGGGCTCTGTTACACTGAGAACAAAATGTAGGCAGGAGTTCCAGGAGAGGCCAATGCCGTAATAGAGGGGAAAGACAGGGAGAAGCAGAGGAGATGGGGGCTATGTCTGAATATATGTTGAGGGTAGGGATTGTGCAGTTTCCCAATGGAATTCATATGAGACACCAAAGAAGATGACTGAAGTGTTCTGGCTTTGCAAGGATGGAGTTCACATCACTAACCTCGGGATAAGTGTAAATAACAGAAAGGGAAGGCTGGGGGAAAGACAGAAGTTCCACTTTGACCTCAATTACATAGCAAGCGGAAAGCTCAGGAAAGCAGATGGCTCTCTAATTTTGGTGTTGAGGACAGACATTTTGACCACAGGGAAAAATTTAGGAGTCCCTAACAGAACATCACAAACTCCTCTCCATTGGCCAATGATATAAGCTGTATGTAGGCAGTAAGCCAGAAACCTTGCTTCTAAAAATCTTCAGTCATACAATAGCCTCATTTATACCAAACGTAAGCATCAAGTTAACCCAAGTAACAGCACTTGATGTCCTTACTTTAGGCCAGCTGAGGGGGGAATGTTTACAACACCCCCATCTCAATCAATAAAAAGCACCTGCTTATCATTATGCTCTCCAGGAAGTGTAATTAGAAAGATAGAGGTCCTAGTGAACCCAGACTCTATTTGGAACAATAATGAAAGCAAGAGGAGCTGGGGCATGACTCCAGTGGTACAGTGCCTAGAGCATGACGCCTCTAGTTCAAGGCCCAGTATGACTCAAAACAATCCAAAAAAATAAATCTGACAAATACGTTTGAATGTTGAAGAACCTAGTCAATTCAGATTGGCTTGTGGTTACTTCCCTTGTTTGGAAGAGGAAGAATGAGCTGACAAGTAACCCACATGCTGGATATTATCATCAGTACTAGTTCATTTCACAAACAGCCTGAACGCCATCACTCTCCATACACAGGCTGGTTTCTACAGGTGCTTCTTCTTAAGCAACCAGAGCTGTCTCCAAAAATTCAGACATTAAAGACAGACAACTACCTCATCTAGGAAAGTGATTACATGTCTAAGAGGTGAAGTGGGTAGCTCTCCAAACAGAACCATGTGAGAAAAATCATCGGCCCCAGTGCTCTCTTCAGCTATCTTCTTGGCAACATAAACAAGTTTATGTTTTGCATCTCTTGGAATCTGAAACGAGAGCAAGGTAATTAGTTCAAACTCATTGTAGTTAACAAGAAGATTGCTATACGCAACTGTAGATAGAATAAAACCTGGCATGGTGCCCACCTAACATGGTGGGTTCTGTTGTTTTTCCGTGTCCTGTAAAGGGCACACAATTTTCCTTGTTCTTTAATGAGGTTAATTTCACAGCCTTACTGGTGTGGAAGTAACCACCTTTAAGGGTAGGTAAGTATAACACAACACATGCTCACCTGCCATAAAAAAAAAAATCTCAGTGACATGAAAAATCTCAAGGACAGTGCCTAGGCCCTAAGTTTAAGCCCCAGGACTGCCAAAAACAAAAACAGTGAGAAAAGTAATACAATGTAGATTCTTTCCATCTTATGTTTTTAATCAGATTTTTCCTCTTTGGAAGTGAGCCAAACCAGAGATTAAACATAGGGCCTACAGGTTAATTTGTATTTCTTTTTTTCAAGGCAGAAAGGTGTTTGGTCAAGATATTTTTACATTTCCAGAACTACTGAATCATCTCTGCAGCCATCACTCTATTTACTTAGCTTCCATAATAACTGGAGTGACATGTCCTATTGACTCACCTAAAAAAAAAACCTTAAAACTAAAAGTTACCATTTAGGAGAGTACCAAAATGAAGATTTTTTTTTTCCTCTCTCTCCAAAGCTCACAAAACCCTAGGGCCAACCCCCAGCCCCCACCCCATGAGCCTGCTCACCTCCATGGGAAACACGAATAAGCAGGATTTTACAGCATTAACCCCATGCAGGTCACCTCAACAGAGACTCTTGCAAACTTCACACAGGACCAACGCTAAATACAAATGCTGTACTTGGGGTAATACCATCCACCTAACATACATCCACATCCCAAAAGAAGAAAAGCAGGAGGGGGAGGGATAAAGGCAAAGCTAGGGGAAAGCAGGCCCTCCCTTGCCAGGTGGCTGGCACGCAGCAGGGCGTTTGGAGAGCTTGGCTCACGGCTGTTCAAGGACCCAAGATTTCTTCCCGGGAAAATACAAGCGTGGTTCCTAGGCAGGCCAGACCGCATCCAGGCTGCGGCTACTTTTGTTCTTCCTTTAAGGATAGAGAGTTCCAGAACGACACCGGGGGGGGGGGGGGGGAACGACTGAAGCCTCCGTCACCTGGCCTGAAGGAGGCGCTGGCCTTTCTCACCTCCGGTTCGCTCCGGCCAGCTCGCGGGAGAGTCTGGGTCGGGTTTCAAAGGCTGGCTTTCTACAGAACTAACTTCGGGCCGGGGCGCTGTCGGGGCTGGGCCGCCGGGCTGCGCGGCGGCCCCCTTACCTCCCGGGAGGCCTCGAGGCGTCCCGAGGCGGCGACGCCGAACACCAGGCC